AAAACATCAATGTTTTTTAACATTTCCGGTAAAATGCTCAACAATAATAAAACCGGTAAAAAAAAACAAAATCGGTAGCGCTTTTACCGGTTTTGTTAAGAAACCCGATAAAATGCCAAAATAATAACAAAACCGGTAGAAATAATGATGTTTTCGGTAATTTTTACCGGTTTTGTTATACACAACAATAACAAAACCGGTAGCGCTTTTACCGGTTTTGTTAAGAAACTCGGTAAAATACCAAAATAATAACAAAAGAGATAGAAATAATGATGTTTTCGGTAATTTTTACTGGTTTTGTTATGCACAACAATAACAAAACCGATACCAACTTTTTTTAACAGTATATTAAACGCCGCACGTGAGCATTTCCATTCGGTGAAAGAAAATTGAAAGATTATATTTATATTTTTAGTAGTGCAAGTAAATAACAAATTTTGTAATGAAAATTGTATGTTTGATAAAGATAATAAAAAAGGGTAAACTACACCCCAATGGTCACTAATATTTTTATCAGGTTTTATTTCCTACTAAAGTTTTAAAAGTAATAAATTGGTCACTAACATTATCGATTTCTAGCAAAATATCAAATAGGTCATTGAATAATGATTTTATATTTAATTTACCTTTATAAACTTTCTAATTTTTATTTATTTTTTCAAACACACCAACCACCCACTTAGGGGTGTTCAAATAACCGAATTAATTCGGTTAACTGATCGAACCGAATTAGTTCGGTTAATTCGGTTCGATTACCGAATTAGTTCGGTCGGTTAACGGTTAAGAAAATTTTTAGAATTCGGTTAACGGTTAATTCGGTTCGAATTCGGTTAATTAACCGAATTAACCGAAATTAAATTTTAAATATTAAATATATTATATATAACATATGGGCTCAACCCAAATTATTAAAAACCCAATTAATAATTTAAGATCCAATAACTTTTAAACTTAAATCAATATTAATTAATTAAAAATTATATAAATTTTTTATTTTATAATTATATATTATTTAAATTAATTCTAAACTGTTTTTTAATTAAAAAATATTAAATATATTATATATAACATATGGGCTAAGCCCAAACCATTTAAAACCCAATTAATAATTTAAGATCCAATAACTTTTAAACTTAAATCAATATTAATTAATTAAAAAATTTATCTAAAATTTTTATTTTATAATTATTTATTATTTAAATTAATTATAAACTTTTTTTGAATTAAAAAATATTTAATTTTATATAAATTAGAAAAATTTTAAAAAAAATCGGTTAATTCGAAATTAACCGAATTAACCGAAATTTATTCGGTTCGGTTAATATGTTCGAAAAAAAATCGGTTCGGTTAACGGTTAAAGAAAAAAAAATTTGGTTAATTCGGTTCGGTCGGCCACCGTTTTAACCGAATGAACACCCCTACACCCACTCTTGAACAAACCCTCACCACATCTTCCTCACATTGCTGCTCGAACCTCTGCGCTCCATAACTTCACCTGAATAAGAAGCATCCATGATTTCTATAATTCAAAAATAAGGCAAGATATATTTTATAAAAGACAAATTCCAAAATGAGTTTAATAAGAAATGGATTCCACGAGACATCATTAACTAAAAGTTACGAAATATCAAAATGTTGAGGATCATTTTTTCTAAAATTAATAATAAACAACTAAAAATATAAAAAATAAATTTATTACTTTATCAATTGAAATTAATCATCACAACATCTACAAATTTAAAGAAATATTTTTATTTTATTTTTTTTTTTGTTTAAAAGGTAGCGCACGTTTTGCTTTTCTCTCGGTGCATGTTAGCAGGACTTGTAACACCCCAACTCGTATCCGACCCGGATACGAGTCCGAAGTGTCACATTGACTTTTCAAACATTTATTCGTATCAAATAGTGAGTAATTTAAAAAAACTTTGATAACATTTAACTTATTCAAAACGTTTACAAAATATATAAGAGTTCATACAATTTATATCTTTAGACTACATGCCAACTACACTCTATATACAGTACTTATATTTTCTGATCTGACATTTGGTAAGGAAAACTGACTTGTCTTGCTCCACATTCCTCTTTACTCTTCTCGAAACCTACGTGTGAAACAATCACACGCTAAGTCGAAGACTTAGTGAGGCATAAAAACTTATAATGCACTTTATAACATATATCAATATATGCATGTTCTGTTCTATCATGCTATACCAAATTACATGACTTCCTCATATCATGTAAAATTATATCATATTAATTAACAATAAATACATACATACACATAAATCATCATATCATTTGTAATACATTTATCATATCACTAACATATATTTGTTTATATCTCTTGATTAGCCCATGTACACCTGTGAGAACTGTAGATATGTGAGTCTATTGAGGTTGTGCACCACTATGCTGTCATCACAGCTCATATAAATGTCCCGAAGGACCTATCCAGAGGTCATAAAGATCCTCGGTAACTATCCAGAGGTCATAAAGATCCTCGGTAACTATCCATAGGTCCCGAAGAACCTAGGTAAACTGTCCATATGTTCCTTAGAACATAGATATAGAACATAGATATACTGTCCATATGTCTCGAAAGACATAGGTAAAACTGTCCATATGTTCCGTAGAACATAGGTAAACCCTCGACTCTTGGCATGCCAACTATACCCCTAGCTCTCATGACACATAACATGGGCGTTATCATTTATTTCATTTCAAATATTCACATAAACTTGTAATTCACTTTCACATATCACGTATCACATAGCTTCTTTTCATATTATCACATAGTCACGTAGTTCACTTACACGTAGATCATTTCCATATAATTCACATGTCACATATATCATGTTTTCATATAATTCTATCATTTCTCACCCAATCACATTTATTCATGTAAACATACTTATCATATCTTGTTCACATAAGATCATATACTTCATATAATATATAGAAACACCTAGAACACTTTCACGTAGCTTATAGTCATAGGTCTTATCTCATAACATATACTTGTTTTCACATATATAACATATCATGTAACATTATAATAGAAATACCTATAAGTCATATCACTTAGAGCACATATACTTATAGTCACATTGCTTATATCTTACTCTTATGCCTTCTCTTAGATATATATATATATTCACATGTTCAGGTAATCCACCATTTCATCACATAATTATGTATTCATATAACTCATTTCATTTCATATCTATCTATATATATATATATATTCTCAAGATTTATCCTAATATAAATCATATAGCACTCTTATAATTCATATTCATATTCATCTATGTCAGACTTATAAACACCTCTCACTTCTATTATTTCTTTATATATATATAATCTAATCTGTTTACTTAATTCAATTTCATATAACTCTTATAATCTTCTCATATAGCTTCATAAATTTCTATCATACAACCCCTGTGTTATAGTTTTATTTAAACATATGAATCTTTCCCATCTAGCTTATCTTATATGTTCATATTATCATTTATGTTCAAATCTCCTAGTTAGTGTACTATTCTCACATCATCCTATAGATCAATATTATCTAGCTTATTTCACTTATCATTTAACAATATAATTATATTTTACTATGATCACATAGTTTATATCTCATATAATTCATAACCTTTCTTATGTAATCACTTATACTTTATCACATAACACATAAAAGAACAGATCAATCCATATAATCAAGCATACATACATGCATATTCAACTCATGCCTTTAATCATGAATTCATGTGTAACACTTCAGGAAATACACTCATCGCAAGTCTTATTCCCATCGCACATCATATACTATTGAATATGCACTCACCTGGCCTCACTAGTCAATTCCAATCTCTTATATTTCCCCTTGATCGATCTTACTTGTCAATGATTCCGGAACTTGGTTAGGCTCTGAATCTACATAAATGTACATTTTGAGGCAATCATTAGATACCTACACCTTGTAATTGGATACTAGCAACTTAAACGAACTTATTAAACCCATATTCACAATTTCCTTTAGGGGGAATCGGTTCCCTACTATGGGGGTATCGATTCCCTAATGACATTCTGGAAATGTTGTTCGTTTGAAGGGGTATCGGTTCCCCTTGAATGGGTACCGATTCCCCTTGCCCATAAATCATATTTTAGCCCGAAAATTACTTCATTTTCTCTCAAACACTTCATATATCATCCCCTTTTCATTCTTAACTCTAGTACACATACTTAAACCAATCTATATTCATTTATTTCATCTTAAACCTCAAAATCCTATCTTCCATATGAGATTCAAGAATCATACCAAATTTTCAATGTGTTCTAATTCTAATTCTAACACTTCATACTTCTTAATTGGATTGATGACAAGTCAAATTCATCCATAAAACTTCAACAACCATACCATATCAAAATTTCATCTTAAAACTCATATTGCAAATTCCTTCATAATTCCTTTATTTTATTGTTTAAATCCCATATAAGCTTTCCTTAAGCTTATTTAATACCCAAAGAATCAAAACTAAGCTTAAAACTCAAGAATTAACCAACTAAAATTAAACTTACCTTTTGTAGCTAGCCCCACGTGAAGAAGAGAAAGCAAGAAGAAGAAAGCTTCCAGATAGCTCTCTTCCCACGTTTTCACTCTTATAAAAGGGGGAAGAATATCTTTTAAAGGAAAAGACCATAATACCCTTAATTTCCTTTAATAATTATCAAATAACCTTCAATATATATACAAATAATCATTGAATTATTTCATTCTTCTACTTTAGTCACCAAATTTTGAAACTTTACAATTTGGTCACTAACCCGGTATTGAGGATGTTACAGGACTAACAACGACTGAAAGCGGGTTATCCTTCTTCTCTTTCGATCTTCGATTGTTTGATTCTTGCTCAATTTCTGGTTGATTCTTTGGGGGTTTTGTTGGGCAATGTCTGCTGGTGTGGCCACAGACTGGAGAAGTTTATTTGCGGCAGGTAATGAGCAAGAATTGGACTTTTTCCCCCGTCGGAGGCTGTGGCTTTGCTCGTGGTGAAACCTCCAAGAGATGTGTTTGAGGAGGGTATTTTGGAATGGAGGCATGCTCTGGTTGGGCAGTTCATTGGCTCAACCCCTAACTTTGGCTTGTTGCAGAAAACAGTTGATTTGATGTGGGGCAAAGCCGCTCCGGTGAAGGTGAGCCTCGCCGGATCCAACCTTTTTGTTTTCTCTTTCGATAATTCCTTGGCCAGGGACTGGGTTTTAGAAAATGGTCCCTGGCATGTACAGCATAAGCCCCTCTTCCTCAGGAAATGGGAACCGAATTTGAAGGAGCTGCACTTTGATTTGGATCGTATGCCAATTTGGATTCAACTATTTAATGTTCCTTTGGAATTATTTTCGAAGAAGGGACTCAGCTACATTGCTAGTGCTATCGATAAGCCCTTACACATGGACTCCATTACTGCTTCTAGAGCGAGACTTGAGTATGCTAGGGTCTGTGTTGAAATTTCTGTTGGCTCGAAAATTCCAGATTTTGTTGATGTGCTTCTTTATGATGAGTCTGTAGTGAGAATTAAGATTTTTGTACCTTGGCTTCCTGCCTCATGTGTTGAATGTATGAAATTTGGGCATTTAATGAAATTCTGTCCTTTGGGGAAGAAGAAGGAACAGGTATGGAAGGCAAAAGCTCCTCCTCAGGAAATTAAGCAGGGTGTTATTGACAACAGTCTAGCTGGATTGGAGGTGATGAGTGATGGTGTTGAAACAATACCAGCTCAGGAGAAAATTGTTAATACAAGCCCAACTGAGATTGTGGTGAAATGCTCTGGGTTATGTACTGAGTCCTCGAATTTTTCTGAACAGTCTATTCCTAATAATGGTACACTAGTGGAAGTGATGTGTGCAGGGAAGGTCCATGCTGATTCTAGTAGGGATAATATGGCGGGTTTAAATGCTCATGTGGGGAATTCAGGAAGTAATCCCCCTATTAAACGTGGTCGGGGTAGACCAGCGAAAGAACCTAAAGCTGCTTTAGGAGCTTTAAAAAACAAGTTTGAGGTTCTTACCTCAATTGATCCTAAAAATTTTCTGCCTGCTGATGATGGTAAGAAGTAGAGAGCAGCTTCTTTAGGAGTGTCTAAACTTGTTCAGGACTTAAAGTTGAAGAAAAAAGAACAGCTTGATAAAGTGAAGAAAATGGAGGAAAGGGGTGATACCTCTTCCTCTCCCATTATTTCATGTTAGTTAGTTTTTGGAATATCCGAGGATTTAATAATCCTCATAAACAGAGGAAAGTCATTAATTGGGCTACTAGCTGTCATATAAGCATCCTCTGTCTGCTGGAAACTCGTGTTAAGGAAATTAACTCTACTGACATTCTAAACCGGAGTTTTAGTGACTAGGACTCCTATTGCAACTACAATCACTCATTCAATGGTCGAATTTGGGTTCTTTGGCATAAATACCTGGCTTGTTCTGTCATCTCTGTGTATGATCAGAGTGTTTCGATTAAGGGCTCTTTTGAGGGACAGAGCTTTTGTGTCACTGCAGTGTATGGATTGAATGATGGTAATGCTCGGAGACACCTATGGAACCAATTAATCTCCCTGGATATTGTCAACCTTCCATGGCTGGTTGGGGGCGATTTTAATATCATTTTGAACACTGAGGAGAGCTCGGGTAGCATCAATTCTTCTACTCTAGCTGATATCTCGGACTTTCGGAGCTGTGTGGAAAACCTAGGGGTTTTTGACCACCCGTTCACTGGTCCCTTACTTACCTGGTCAAACAAGCAGCAGGATTCGTATTTAGCTCGCAAGCTGGACCGAGTCCTGGTGAACTCTGCTTGGATTGATGCTTTTCCTGAATCCGATGTGGAGTTCCTCACCCCGGGGGATTCTGACCACTGTCCTGCTGTAATGTGGCTCCGGAAAGCAGCCCCTGTGACTAGGCCTAAACCGTTTCGGTTCTTTAATTTTTGAGCTCTGCACCTGGACTTTTTAGCCATCGTTAGGGATTCTTGACAGGTTCCAGTGGAAGGTAATCCTGCCCAAGTACTTTTTCAAAAGCTCAAACGGTTAAAATGTCCTCTCAGATATCTCAATAAAAGCCACTTCAATGACATCTCCAATCAGGTGAAACTGAAAAGAGAGGAGCTGATGTGTATTCAACTTGTAAATCTTTCTGTTGGCAGTATTGTCAACGATGAAATGCAAGCTGAGAGGGAGCTTCATTCCCTTGAAGAAGCTGAGATGCTTTTTTATAAGCAAAAGGCTAAAGTCAGTTGGATAAATGAGGGTGATCAAGGTACTCGCTTCTTTCATTCGATGGTGGCTAGAAAAAGGAAAAGCAGTACAATAAGACTTCTTTTTGATCAATCTGGTACTAGGCTCGACACTTTCGATGATATGGCAAATGAGGTGATCAAATTATTTCAGTATCAGCTGGGTACGACCGATGCAAATGTAAAGGGTTGTAGTACAACTACAATTAAAGATCTCCTCAATTACTCCCTTTCCCTGGGTGCTGACACTGTTTTATGTCGTGATGTTTCTGACGTGGAGATTCGGGAAGCCTTATGGGGACAGGGAAACGACAAGTCCCCTGGACCTGACGGTTATAATCCTTTTTTTTATAAGGTTGCTTGGCCCATTATTGGAGTTGATTTCACAACTACTGTTAGGTATTGCTTCGACAACTCTTTCATTCTTCCTGCTTTTAACTCCACAGCTGTTGTCATTGTTCCCAAAGTGCCAAATCCTAGCTTAGTCAAAGATTTCAGGCCTATTTCTTGTTGCATTGTGATTTATAAGACCATCACCAGGATTTTGGTTAAGCGCTTGTCTGTTGTGTTCCCCGACATGGTAACCAAAAACCAAACTGCTTTCGTTAAAGGGAGAAACATTGTTGACAACACCCTCCTTGCCCAAGAGATTGTCAGGGGTTATAATAGGAAAAATATTTCCCCTAGATGCACTTTGAAGATAGACCTCCAGAAGGCTTTCGACTCCCTTGATTGGAACTTCATTTTGGTTACTCTGAAGGCATTGGGCTTGCCTGAGAAATTTATTGGTTGGATTGGGGCATGCTTCTCTAAACCGAGCTACTCGATCATGTTCAATGGCAGTCTCGTTGGCTATTTCAGAGGTGGTCGTAGTGTTAGACAAGGCGACCCTCTTTCGCCTTACCTCTTTGTTCTCGCTATGAACGTTTTATCGAATTTGTTGAATGTGGCAGCTCTTAGAGGCATTTTTAAGTTTCACCCCAAATGCAAAAGGATAGGCTTGACTCATCTTTGCTTTGCCGACGATCTCCTCATTTTCTGCGAAGCCTCCATTGATTCTATCATTGGTGTGCAAACTGTCTTGGATGTCTTCTATTCTTTCTCTGGGCTCAAATTAAATATCAATAAATGCGAGATGTTTGTTGCTGGGATATCAGCTGATCAATGTAGATATCTAAGTGTGAACACGGGGTTTAAAGTAGGAAGCTCCCTGTGCGATACTTGGGTATCCCGCTGGTTACAAAGAAGCTTACTATAGCTGATTGTCAGCCTCTTCTTAATAAAATAAGGGCACGGTTGAACCTTTGGGCTAACAGGCATTTGAGCTTTGCCGGTAGGCTCCAACTTATATGTGTTTTTCTTTTCAGTTTAACTAACTATTGGTGTAGGCAGATTATGGTTCCTGCTGAGGTGATCAGGAGGGTGGAACAGTTGTGCTCTCGCTTCTTTTGGAAGGGAGCTAATCTGCCTGCGAAGGGAGCTCGGGTGAGTTGGAAACAGATATGCCTTCTAAAGTCTGAAGGGGGTCTTGGGGTCATTGATATCCTTGGCTGGAACAAAGCTTGTTTCGTTAAGCTTATCAGGAACTTGTTGGCAGAGGAGGGTTCCCTATGGGTAGCTTGGATTCGTTCCTATATTATTAAAAGCTCGGACTTTTGGCAGTTGAACTTACCTTCTAATGCTAGCTGGTACTTCAGGAGATTGCTGAAGTTGAGACATGCTGCTCATCATTTATTTGTTAATCGGGGCAAAGAACTTAGCACAAGGCAGATTTGGGAGGCCATTCGCCCTGAGGCACCAAAGGTTGTGTGGCATCATCTAGTTTGGTTTGCTGGACGTATCCCTAAGTACTGTATTATTCTTTGGATGGCAATCCTGGATAGACTTCCTACCAGGATTAGGCTGTTGCGAATGGGACTTGCCATAGATAATGATAAGTGCTTGTTATGTAACTTGGAGTCTGAGACACGGAACCACTTATTCTTTGAGTGTGACTACGCGAGGAATCTCTGGAAGGCCATTCTGCAGCTCTGTGGTGTTAATCGCCGAGCTTCTCACTAGGATGGCGAGCTTGCTTGGGCCACTCACTGTTTTAAAGGCAAATCCCTCATCACGCGAGTGCTTAAACTTGTTTTGTCGAGCCATGTGTACTGGATATGGAAGGAGAGAAATGACAGGCTGTTTGGGGGAGTCCCTAGACCGTGGTCTACTATCCTTGAGGATGTAAAAGCTGTCGTACGAATTAGGTTGCATGGTTGCTCTATCAACGTAGCAGATCCGAGGAACGCTACTCTCTGCGCTAGCTGGAACATTGCGTGATATCTTGAAGCGCTTCCCCCTCTGTTGATCACCTTGTACTGGTTTTTGGTTATCTGTTGCTAGGGGCTTTTGTTTTTAAAACAGTTTGTTTCTTTGTAAAGTACTGGTTCATATGTAGCAGTCTTCTGCTTCTCTTGGGGTAATAAATACAGATTATCCAAAAAAAATTTAAAGAAACATATCAAATCAGTAGCAAAACTTGGTGATAGAGTTTGAGGGACAACTTAAAACTTTAAACTTTTCAGAGGTTTAAATTGAAATTTTTAAAAATTTTGAAGGGTTTAGTTTAAATTTTTCCAAAAAAATTAGGGTCAAACTAAAATTTTTGGAAATTTGAGAAGCTTAATTAGATTTTTAAAAATTTATGGGAGGAAGTTTAATTAAAAAACTTTTAAAAAATTAAAGTTTAAACTGAATTTCTAAAAAATTTGATGGACCAAATTAATTATTTTGAAAATTTTAAGGGTCTAAATTATATATTTTAAAATTTTGGGGCATGACCCCTAGTGATTCTTGTGTTCCGTCGCTGGATCAAATTAATTTTTTTTGAAATTAAATATTATATTTAATATTTTATAATAAGGAAATTCAATAAAAGATATCCTATAATCAAAAGATTATTTAAATATTTTATCTATTCATAAAATATGTTTTAGATTTGACAATTTTGACTCGTACCCGATTACTTGAACTGATTTATCTGATCCGATACTCGAAATAGACTCGAATATGATGACTCAAAATTGATATTAAACTAGAAATAAACCGAATTGAATTGAAAACAATCCGAAATTTAGTTGAACCGAAAGTAATCCGAACAAAAAATAAACCGAACCGAAATAACATAAACCGAAAGCAACCTAAATTTAATTTACCCATATCCAATATGAGATGAGTTTAGACCTGATTTCAACCCAATAATTGATTCTAACTTATGTTTCAACTCGTAAGAAAAGAAGAAACTTTTATTGATTTCTTGAGACCGTTCTACCGGGTTATTAATAGTAATTTGAACGTTGTACGCCAAGAACCCGACCACCAGATTTCCTCTTTTTGAAAAAGACCGGACCGCGAGATTTGAATTGTCTTGGTCTTCTCGTTTGAACAGTCCTTTAGACCCTTTATGAATTAAGGTAAATAAATTAAAGTCTATTAGCAGTTCTTATAATACATTAAAAAATTATTTTAGTCTTTATATTATTAAAAAGAATGTTTTTAAAATTAATCATTGATATCCAAATCAATTGACCGACTAATTTAGATCGAGTACTGCAAAGGTAAATGCAACTCTCCCAACACAGTTTGTTCTATTAGCTAACATTAGAATTCAAACCCTTGATTTTGCTTAAAAAATCTATTACATCATCCCACTAGACCAACTAATTGTTGGTATTAAAAAGAATGTTTTAGTCTAAAATATTAAATTTATATTAATTTAACTAAATATTTGATATAAAAATTATTTAGGTTTATTTCGTTTCATAAGTTAAACACGTTGATCTTATTTGCTCACTTGTGAAATATATATATATGAAACAAATTATTTCTAATTCACTTAATTTGTAGAATGATTAGAGTTATTTAATCTTAATATTTTATTATAATTAATTATAGGGTAAAGTATAGTAATAGTCACTGAACTTTTCTAAAACTTTCATTTAGGTCCCTCAACTTTTAAAAATTATAATACAGTCCCCCAACATTTAGTCCGTTTACAATATGGTCCCCCAACAGTTACGTCGAGGACCATATTGCAAATGGACTAAATGTTAGGGGATTGTATTGTAAGTTTTAAAAGTTAGGGGACCTAAATGAAAGCTTTAGAAAAGTTCAGTGACCATTACTATATTTTACCCTAATAAATATTATAAATATAATATTTAAAATGATTTAATAAATATTATTTTTAAATTTTACTTGCCCTTACCGTTGAAAATATGTGTATTTGATTGGCGCGTGGCGCATGAGTCTCTCCCCACGGGGACGGCTTGCTTTGGCTGGGTTACTCGGGCATATGTTGTCTTTGTGGGTCATCTACCGAGTCTGCCATGCACTGTACTGTTGTACTGGTATTGAGTGCTGCAGGCTTCTCTTCTCCTATGATTTTTGCTGAACAAGTGTCGTGCGGGGACTGGTTAACTACATGTTATACTACATGTCTCTAGTCCTTCCTTTCCAAAGGTTTGTACTCCTTGTTTTGCTTTGGCATCTTTGGCACCGTCAGAATATATATTGGCATGAGGGCCGGTTAATCCCAGGTTGGCATGTTATAATGTCCAGTCGAGCTCTTTTATCGGCCTACTCTGTCGTGCGTGGTTTGACGGGTGATTCTCCAACAAATGATTCGAGTTCTAACTAAAATCTCCTCTGCATGCTATCACCGTGAATGTCGACGATGCATGTCTGATAAGCCCATATATGCCTATGTTAGTATCATCGCTACAGATCATCAAGGTCTTGTGGTGGATACTTGCGCTATCCCGATCGATGGCCCGTGCAATGCAATAAACGTTGAGGCCAATTCGAGTCTAACTAAAATATCCTCTGCATGCTATCACCGTGAATTCGTCGATGCATGTCTGATAAGCCCATATATGCCTATTGTTAGTATCATCGCTACAGATCATCAAGCTCTTGTGGTGGATACTTGCGCTATCCCGATCGATGGCCCGTGCAATGCAATAAACGTTGAGGCCATTGTGCTCACCAAAGGAATGTGACTGGCACTGGAGTTAGATTATTCAATAATCATATTGAAAATGATCTGCTATGTCGTTCATCATTATTGCAGGCTCCAACTGATTTATCCGTAGTTGGATTCTATTTGTAGGAAGTTAGGGGCTTACTTCGGGAGCATCGTCATTCCAGTGTCCATTGCATCGACGTTCGATGAATATGAGGCTCATCGGATTGCACAATTTGCTTTATCAATTACTAGGCCTATCTCTTATGATTACGATTTCCCTAGTGTATCGCAAATATTTTGTGTTGATGTGTTAGTGGCTAATTTAAATATTATGTATTTCCTAAAAAATAATTAATATTAATTTATAAAAATAAATAAATAGTTATTTAATTATTTTTTTATTTTTAAACGAAGTAAAAAATAATTTTAATTTCATCTTCAATTTAATCATAGTTAAATTAATATTGATTTAATTTAGTTTAAAATAAATATTTTATAAATAAAGAGCCAATTAATTTAGTTAGAAATATAATACTATATATATTTTTAGTGGTTAAATATTGGTTTTAGGTTCATCCTTCCTAATAGTAATTTTGGCATAATTTTAAGAGGTGGTATAATTTAATTTGAATATTAATTTTGATGAATTTTTAATGATGCTTAGTTTGACTTAGTGGCCTTTAAACTTATGTGTGGGGGGTTTGGATTTGAATCTTTTTCTTTCTTTATTGAACACAAATTATGTATAGTTTTTTATGTTCGGCCAGACCCGAAAATTAAAGAATGTATGTAAATTTTATTTAATTATACTATGTCGCTATTTTAAATAAGTTTCTATTTTAAATATATTAACCAATCATTTGAAATAAATAATATTAATTTAAAATAATTGAACAATTATAGAGTGATTGTATAGATGAAGTTGATTTAATGTTATTTAAAATAAAAGTATTACGAACTATACATAAATTTAAGGGTAAAGTATAGTAATGGTCACTGAACTTTTCAAAATATTTTATTTAGGTCCCTCAACTTTTAAAACTTGCAATAAAATCCCTAAACATTTAGTCTATTTACAATATGGTCCCTCAATATTTAGTCCGTTTGTAATATGATCTCCGACGTAACTATTGGGGGATCATATTACAAATGGACTAATGTTGGAGGACTGTATTGAAAGATTTAGAAAAGTTCAGTGACCATTACTATACTTTACCCTTAATTATAAATTAAAATTTGATTTGGATCGACGACTGGTCATCATTATGCTTGAACGTGTACCGTGTATTGCTTGTTTTACCTAACATTAAAAAGAAAAGCAGTTTGTATGTTCAAAGATCATACAACACATGCTTGAACTGCCCTTAATCAATAATTAAATGATAGTCACCGTATATACAGTCAAAACATTACTTCTCCAGTTTCACGCTGTAGGCAGAAATTTATGCGAGGGTATGAGAATTTAAGAAGTTATATTAAAAATTTAGGAAGTAATTATAAAATTTTAGGAGGAGGTGTAAAATTAGATAATCAATAAAAAATCTAAAATATAAGAGAATTTAATCAAACATACAACCCAACTATTTAAATGATTCAATCAAGTCATTGCCGTTAACTTTTTAACAGTGGAGGTTACTGGGCAGTTAAAAAAATTACATATTTAATCCTCAAATTTATACATCATATTTTGGTCATAATTTAATTCAATTAAATAAATTTAATCTATAATTAGATGGTGACACATGTCACTGTCTGATTGGAGGATATTTTTAATTTTTATTTATTTAATATATTTATTTTTCTCCAAACAGTGGTGACTTGTCACCATCTTGATAAGAGAGAAAATTAAAAGGTGGTAATTTAGGCAGCAATTGGATTTAAACCTGGGCAAATTGCTTTGGCTGCACATAACTAAACCACCGCGGGTTGTCTCAGAAAAGGCATGCTAATATACGGTATTACTAGATATATTAAAAGATATTTAATAAATTTGGTTTAACACTACCTATTATGTTGACAGACTAACAATGTTTTAGGTAGAAAACAGGAAAAACTA